GACCGGAGGGTCATGCTGATACACATTGATCGGAGGGTCTTACTGAGTTATAGCCTCGAGTGGCTAATGAGTTGTGTGTGTTATTTTGGGGATCTCACTAAGCTTCGTTCTTACCGTGATATGTGATATGTGTTTCAAGTTCTCCTCAGGATCGCTGGAAGGTTGCCGGTTTGATTGTACACACCAGAGAAAGAGCTATGTATTGAGGATCCTGGATTATTAATCAAAAATTTATGGAGTTGCGTTTTGTAAATTAAATAAATGGGATTTTATGAAATGTATTGTTGAGAATTATGTGATTATAAAATGAAAATTTCGTTTAAAAATTTACATTGTTACACGTTAGTATCAGATCCTTGGTTTGAGGGATTCGGATGCACCTTCAGGGATATCTGGACTCAAACTGAGGATTTGAGAAAAAAATATCAAGAGAAATGATTTTTCTAAAACAAGCAGGAGTTTCTAAGAAAAAAACGGGAAGTAACAGTGTGTGCAATCAGCCAGAGCCCAAATGGTGATTTCCCAAAATACCTTTAGTTCTTTGTGTTATGAGTTTTTATTGGGATATTAGTGATGCATGCTAGAAGATAGGCTAGGTATTTCATATCTTAGGGCTAGAGTTGTCTGATTGGTGATGCCTTAGCCTAGGAATCTTTGCTATTTGTGATGTGCATTAAGTATGAACGGAGTAAGAATATCCAGCAGGAATCTTTTAGAGAGAACTTTGAGTAAAGGAGTAATCTAGGAGAGATACCTAGATAAGCATTGGTGGAGCCTACTGAGAGAGTAGTTAGACCCACGAGAAGTAGGGTTGCTTGAGTTCGGAGATACATTTTGAGTGTGAATAAAGCAAATGGATTTGTAACCTATAGTGGTTTTATGTGTTGGTGGAGATTATTCAATACCTGAATGCTGCTTACTTTGTGCTTTGTGGAACTCTTGATGATGGGAGTCAGCTACTAAGTGAATATGGCGATATTCAGGAGGTAGATGGTTGGTGTCATAAGGAGTTCCTCAACAGCTGATGACAGAGATGAGTGCGAACCTAAGAAGAGCCTAGGGAGTGACCTTAGTCATATGAGTACGTTGATAGAGGAGAGTATTCGTTGGAGATCGACCTGGTATAACGGGATTGGCGATCGAGAAGGTTGAACAACTACTTAGGAAATCTGGGATGATCCGTGTAGAAAGTATGGGTAGATGTGGCAGGTAGTATGGGCCTGTACTACTGAAAGTAGAGGAACCATACTCAAAACAGGGAGAATTCCAGGAGTTCTAACTAGCATAAT